CTCTTGCTCAGGCTGGTCTCGAACTCCTGAGCTCAAACAATCCGCCCGCCTTGGCCTCCCAGAGAGCTAGGATTACAGGCGTGAACCACCGCGCCTGGCCTTTCAAAGCATTTTTTACACAATTTTAATTTCTAAGACTGTAAGTACTAGGATCTACTGGGTAAATCAAAGTTAGATTACTTTTTGGAGGGGAAGTTTTCCAGGCAATGTTCATCGTTTTGAAAAATCATGTTACTATTGGCAATTCTGTTCTTGGACTTGAGTTGACACCACGAACCACTTCTATCAGTTTTTAGTTGTTGCTGCTCCAATCTAGGTTATCTACATATACTGCAAACCCCCTGAATACTTTATGTCTTACTGCATAGCTGTGCCCAAGAATTACCACTTGAAAAACATAAAAAATTTCTTTCTTTTACATTCAGTGAGGACACCCTATTGATCTAAAAAATATTTTCTGGATGGGGAAAGACCATTAGAGAAAAAGCAAGTAAAATCCAAATAAAGTGTGGTGTTTAATTAGGAGTACTGTACCGACGTTGGCTTCTTAGCTGTGACAAACATACTACTGTAATGTGAGATGTTAAAAGTGGGGGAAAGAGGGTGAGGTAAACAATATTTGCACTATCTTTGCAACTTTTCTATACATCTAAAACTATTCTAATAAAAAGGTTATTTTTTTAGAAGTTTACTTTTAGAGTCATATAGAGATTTCAAATTTGGAAAACTATCCCCCCACTTCTGTTAATATCAGTATATTTAAATTATTAGATTGAACTATTGAACTAGACATTTTCATATGTTAATAATGGTTAAAGATCAGCAAGTTCATTTGGTTCAAGCTAGAATAGTTTGGGCCTAGTGAAAGGGACTGTGTTACAGAGTTAAAAATAAATGTATTTTTCATTATCAGAAATCAAGAAATCAATTTTAATCCACTGCACACATACACCTCTTCCCTGGGAAATTCTCTACATGCTTATACTATGTTATCTATGATTTTGAGGTCAGTAAAGAGAGCTGTTACAAAACATCTATTATTAAGAAAGGAGTAAAGGGTCTGAGAGGGTTGAAACCACTGAAGTAAACAAAGCATTAATAAGCAAAAGAGGCAGATTATAGCACAGTTTGTCTGTGACACTTACACCAAATTCCTACAGAGAAGAAAATAATTAAAAGGAAAAAGCAAAGTATTTGTAACCCTTCCTTAATGGCAGTCTTATTTCTTTTCTACAGGCTTTTATTCACCACGAAGCTCTTTCACTGGTAGATTAACTTCTGTGTAAAAATATGTTGTGAAAGAGGACATGAGGAAGAAAATTGTGTGTTTTTGCAGAAGGCCTACAAAATTCCTGAACACGTTCAGCTTCTGAAAAAAAATGTTAAGGGAAGAAACATGACGGCAGTGAGAAAAAAAAATTCTGGAAAAGCAATTGGTAGGTTTACTGTAAAAAAAAAAAATCACTCACCTGTGCACAAATCTGATGCATGACATGACCAAATTCATGGAAATAAGTCCTCACTTCGTCATGTCTCAGCAGAGAGGGACGACCTGCTGCTGGCTGTGAGAAGTTCACCACTAGGGCAGCCACAGACATCATCCGGCCCCCATCAGGGAGAAGGCAGCCAGGCTGGAGACCAAAGCAGGCGGCGTGATTGTATTTTCCTTCCCTGGGAATCAGAAACATACGTCGGTGAGACATGAAAACTCTTCTCTAGCAGTAATGCTGGCATGGCTTCTCTTGGTCATTAAGTCCTATCTGATACCAGAAGATGCTTTTAAACACTGAATTTACCTTTTAGAGAGTTAAGTTGTTTTTGCTAAAATGGAAAAACTAAAACTAAACAAACAATAATCCTACTATCCCTTTGTGTGAGTTACAGCTCCAAGGTTTTGTGAGAATTAAGAATGTATACCATACCTAGTATACAGCTGAATGACCAATTTATTTTAATTATTTTAATGAACTCCAGCTTTTCTTTGTCAAAGATGGAGTCACTAAACACTACACAATGTTGAAGCAAATTTGAAATAAAAAATATAATTTGACTCACTAGGTAGTTTTTTCTTTAAAATTATAATTGATAAAAAAACTAAATTTCAGACAATAAGATTTTACCTTTTATTTGAGGAGGGAAGAATCAGTAATCACAATTAAATGAGCTATTTTTATAAACTAGACAGGCTTTTTTAAAAAACAGAATGCTTTTAGTTAGCCTGGGAAAATGCATAAATTATACTCTAAAGTAGTCTATTCTCGGACAATGTTCTATCAGTGATAGTCTCTCTAAAAGCAACTAGACTTCATTCTAGGAGTAGGTTTCCTTCTTTTTTTTCCTCAGCAGATTAACAATATATTCAGATTTGTAGTAGATTTTTTCAGTTTGTTTTGTTTTTATTTGTATATTTTTTTGTGTTATCTTTTCTTGCTGACTCTTATTACTCTCTTTTTTTCCCTGCTGATGCTATTCAAACAACAAACCCCTAGTCTTTTTCTGGCTTCCTATTAAAATGTATAAAACTGGAAAGGGCGTTGCTCCAGTCTTTACTACAACAACATGCTGCATGCCGCACAATCAGCAAATCACTTTTCTTGAAGCCACCAGAGAGATGAGGCTAAAGGGCAACCAACTAACCCACAGTCTAAGACAGGTGCCTCCAAAGAGAGAAAGGAAGGAAATAATCCCCACCCTCCAACCCTGTCCCCCACTTTTTTTTTTTCACCTGGGGCAGACACTGAAGACATTAGTATGAAGAATTTTTAATTGAGTTGCTAAAGGCTGAGGGTGGCCCAGCTAAAATAGGGAGCCACTAGGAGCTGTAGACAAGGGAAGGTTTGCATCCATTTGCAGGGTCTTCTTCTCTGTGGATCTCACTGGGTACACATAAAAAAGACTGAGAGCAGAGTGAAAGCCCTGAGAAAGCATTAGTGGGGGAAATGATCGGTTTCTGTGTAAGGCCATGAAGCACTGCCTAGATTCTCTTTTCCTCTCTCCTACAGAGCAAAAGCCTTAAACTTCCAGGGTAAAGGCAACAAACCCTGTTGTCTTTAGAGCACTGGCGAAAACCCACTGCTGTCAGGGGAAGGGAACAGGAAGAAAACCCTCCACCTTTGGAGAAGGGCAAGAATATATGCTGGGCTCAGACCTACAGCGGACGGTGGGGCAGGATCACTGAACAGGCCCCACTCCTAAGACCCAAGGACACAAAGCCTACTCTGTGATTCAGGCTGATGCTTCATCAGAACAGAGAATTCCCATCCCCTAACCAGGTTAACAAATATCCAGTAACAAATAATGGCAGCCTACTGGTGGGAGAGAAGCAAGGGCTTGAAAAGAGACCTGCTCTGAGGCAGAGCACAAAGACCTGAAGTTGAAGGTGGAACAGGCACTGAGAAAAACTCTCTGACAAACCAGCTCCTACCCTAAACACGAGATATCGGAATCAGAAGTTTGTAATGTATTCAGGTTAACCATGGCAGCAACAGATTCCAAACCCAGCTCAACTACTAAGTGAATCAACCCCCATACTAAAGGCCTAGCATAAGTAAACGTGTGACCATTTCCAGGCATAAAACTATTTACTTCAGTCTTTAGTATACTATACAAGATGTCTGGCTTTCGGAAAAATTGGGAAGTATATAAGGATGCCAGAAATAAAAAAATACACTGTTAAGAGGCAAAGCAAACAAGAAAATCAGATACGACAAAGATGTTGGAGTTATCAGAGTATTTAAACTAAACAAAATTAGTATGTTAAAGTGTCTGAAGGAAAAAGTGGATACCATGCAAGGAAAGATGGATAATTTTGGCAGAGAGTTGGAAACTGTAAGAAAGAAACAAATGAAAATGCTAGAAATGAAAAACACACTAGTAGAGATGAAAAATGCTTTTGAGAGGCTCATGAGAAGACTTGAAACAGCCAAGGAAGACCCACTAAACCAAAAGATAGGCCAATTGAAATCACCCTATCTAAAACACAAAAATTTATAAAGGGTGAAAAAAGGAGAACAGAGCACCAAGAGCTGTAGAGCAATATTGAATGATCTACCCTATGTGTAATCAGAATCTCAGAAGGAGAACAGAGAGGGAACAGCACAGAAGAAATATATGAAAAAAGAATGGTCAAGAATTTTCCAAAATTAATGATAACTAACCACAGATCCAAGAAGCTAAAAGAACACCAAGGAAAATAAATACAAAACAAACAAAAAAAACAATGGAAAAAAGGACCTCATACACCTAAGCATATTAAAATTGCTAAAAACAGGCTGGTCCGATGGTAGTGGGTTATCAGAATTTATTAACATTAATGTCACTAAAGTTGGTATTCAATCCCTCACTGCTAAATTTGACTGGCTTTAAAAAAAAAAAAAATTGCTAAAAACAAGAGATGAAGAGATCTTGAAGGCAGCCAGAAGGGAAAAAAAACACATTACATATAGAGGGACAAAATAAGAATTATAGAAGACTTCTCACTAAAAACTATGCAAGTGATAGAGCCAGACATTTTGGTTTCAGAACCCACATTTTTAACCCCTATTCTAAGAACCACATGTGGGAAATATGGGAGAGTAGAATCTTTTTTTTTTTTCTTTTTTTTAAAGAGACAGGGTCTTGCTCTGTCTCCCAGGTTGGAGTGCAGTGGTGCAATCATGGCTTACTGCAGCCTCAAACTCCTAGGCTTAAGCAATTCTCCTGCCTCACCCTTCTGAGGAGGTGGGACTATAGGTGTGCGCCACCATGCTCAGCTGAGAGTAGAGTCTTTTTTTTTCTTTTTTTAGATAGCATCTTGCTTTGCTGCCCAGCCCGGAGTGCAGCGGCCTGATCATAGCTCACAGCAGCCTCAAACTCCACCTCAGCCTCCCAAATTACAGGCGTGAGCCACCACACCTGGCCTGAGTAGAGTCTTAAAATGGGTAGGAGGTGAATCCCTAAGGTCCCTTTGAACAATGTGATCCTCAGTACCTTGGATAGAGGTCCAAGTAGAACTGTCCCAATACTTCTCCTGTTGCTTTATCCTTCACAGTGTAAAGTGTAACACTTTTATTCCAAACATGAGCATCTGCCACTTGCTCAAATGAAAGTCCCAACAACTCCTGGTAGGTGTTCAGCAAGCCTTCAGTGACCACCTCAATTGGGAAATATTCCTTGAGGAACTCTTGGTCTACAGAGTACTTGAGTTCTTCTGTCCGAGTCATGTAGTAATGTAGATCCCATGCATTGATTTTCCCATCATATTCAAAACCTCTCTCTTCACATTCCTTTTTCTTCAAATTCAAAATAAACTCTCGTTCTGCTTCACCCAGGGGTTTTAATTTCTGGCTTAAATCATCTGTGAAGAACAGGAAAAGTTAATGATCTATTGCTGTTGGGAGCAAGCACATTCACACAGACTACCAGTGTTTTACAATGGGGCTTCCTTTGTTGTACTCAATACAGATAAATCCGGAGAAAAGAGGAAGGACGGAGGGAAAGAGAGGGAGGAGAAGAAGCTCTGTTATGAAAGCATGCTTTTCTCTTCAAAGTGATCTGTTTTATGGCTTTTTCTTTTAGCATCACCACCATACCACGACTTCCTCACAGTATCAACAAAGCTGAAGTTTATCTCAGAGAACTCTGAGATAAATTCAGGGAACAAAGCAATAGTGAAACCAAACTCATGTACATGATTATCCTTCCATGAGGTTAGTTAGGCTTCTCAGAAGGCCAGGGGAAACAAATCACATGTGACCTGTGGTCAGTATTATCTAGAAATTGCTCAATGCATTTGACAGCCATGGGTTTAATTTCTCATTACCCTGTTCCTATGAAGAAGGTCTATTTGGACACAGCAATTCCAGTTTTTAGCTGGAGAAATTTCTGGGCACAATTTATATACTGTGGTCAATTTTGGCCTTTACTGTATTTGGTTAAATGAGTAAGCTCTTATGTATTTATTTTTCACAATTTGTTACATATGTTAAGATAAAAATGCGCTTGGCTCTGCAACAGACATGGCAGTTCAGGAGGCAGCCCCACAGCATGACAGAGGGAGGCAGCAGTGTGAGGAATGCTGTGAAGACAAAGGAGGAAACTAGTGGAGGATACAGAGATATAATTTTGATTAGGCCTATGAGAGAATATGTGAACATAGGCGGCAAGAGGACAATTTGCATAGGAATATGCCGATTTCAAATTAGAGGGAAAAATCCTTTAAATGAATTAAATTAATCAGGTGGTTACTAAGGAAAAACTTCAGTATATACAGTTTCCACTGAAGGAAACATTACAAGCTTGTTAACTCTCTGAGCTGTCCTCTTGTATAACATGCATCAGACCAAATGGCAATTACCTGTTCACACCTCTGCTGTTTCCACTAAATGGAAAATCCACTGAGGAAAGGACCTTGTTTTATTCCTTTCTGTAGCCCTACTATTTAGCATATTGCCTAATACTGATTAGTTATTTCATAAATGTCTCATGAATGAATAAATGAATTATATGATAATAAGTAGTTGCCATTTATGGAGCACCTATTACATCCATGTCACATATGATTCCAGTATATATATGGTAATAAGTCAGGGTAGAGCCATTGAAGACACACTGGAGTAAACTGTAAATCTAAAGGCCGATTTTAACACGTTATTATTTCCAACTTAATTAAGCTAATAAAAGGATATTACAGCAACAGACTAAATGCTTTGACAAGTTGTTGAAGGTAAATAAAGTTTGAAAGGAGCTAGTGAAGAAAATAAGAACAAAATAATACTTTGGTCAACTCTGATTATGGATGTATATAATTAGAACAGAAATTAGTGTGTTTACCATGGCTAAGTTATTCAACCATTTTCACTAAGATGAAAGAGAAAACAGAGAGAGTGTTGGAATCGTGATATCTAGATTGAGAGAGGGGATAGGGAAGTGAACCAGTGATTAAATGTCATGGCCAGGAGATATAGGCTCAAGATGGCCAACTAGACATAGGTAGCATGTGCCTCTTCCATGGAGAAGAACCACAATAGTAAGCACATTCTCACATTTTGAACAGACTGTCTAAGAGGCAACACTAGGATTCACCAGGTAAGTGAAAGGAAGCACCAAAAATGGGTAAGGAGAGTGTGTAGGGCAACTTGCCCAGCCAGAGACTAGCTAACAGCCAGGAGATGCTCTGTGATGTGGGGAAGCAGTAAGAGAGGAGCCCCCATGGCTCCACTTACCAAGACAAGCTTTTACAATCTTGGTTAAAAGAGAACCCCTTGACCCATGCAGGTCTTGGGCCCTAAGGAACTGTTTGGAGATTGTACAAAATGCGTCTCCAGAATGGGAACCTATGTGGAATTCCACAGCCATTCCAGCCTAAAGCAGGTTGAGCCAGGCACCATTCTGAGAGACTAGATACTGGGGAACCATGGGCATACCTGTAGCCACTGCATGGAGTTGAGGAGGGACAGAGGAGATCAGGCACTCTCATGCACCCCTAGGAAGGTCCCCACCACCCTGCTGTGTGCTGCTGTTAAGACTGAGATGTGAAAGGACAGCATTTTTCACAGTTTCTTGCCCACACTGCTTGCCTGGGTGGGACCCCAGCTTTTCTAGTCCCAGGTCCAAGGTACCATTTTAAGAGTTTGACACTGGGCTGTACCCTGCCCTACAACTGAGTTTGGGCTGACATGCCTGCAGCCCCTGCCTGGCTGGGGAGGGAAGCCAGGCATTCCATCACATATCTGGGATGGTGCCCATCATCCTACAGCTGGATGCTGTGGGACCAAGTCCTGAACAAATGGCACTGCCCACAGTTTCCTGCCAGCGTAGCCTTCCTGAGAAGAGCCCCACCCTCTCTGGTCACAGGTCCAAGGCATCAGTTTGGGAGCTTAAAGCCGGGCAGTCATCCACCCTCAGGTTGAGCTCAGGCTGATTCAGCAGCAGCCCTGTCAACCTGAGGAGGGACAGGGGAGCCCAAGCTCTCCTACATATACCTAGGACAATTCCTATACCACTCTGCTATGGGCTCCAGTGAGACTAAGATATAAGAAGATCACACTCCCCACACTTTCTTGCCCATGCCACTGGTCTGAAAGGGGCCCTGCCCTCTTTGATTGCAAACCCACAGCTGGCACCATTTTGAGAGATTAATGCTCGGCCATGCCCCACCCTTGGGCTGCGTTCAAGGTAATGTGACCGCAGCCTCCACTCGGCCAGGAAGGGATAGGGAAGACCAAACTCTCCTAAGCACGCTTAGGACAATACCCACCACCCTGTAATAGGCAGCTGTGGGACTGAGGACTAGCTTGCCCAACTCGCTGCAGCTACCAGTAACACCAACACAGATCACTTGGATCCTAGTGGGTGGCTCCACCACTGCTACTGCCACTTCTCACATATAGTAAAGGGGTGAAAAATGATATTCCATGCAAATGGAAACCAAAAGTGAGCACTAGTTATATCAGATAAAACAGACTTTAAATCAAAAATAGTAAAAAAAAAAA